AAAAAAACCAGCTCTTTGTTTCATTGATCCTTTGAATTGTTTTTTGGTCTCCATGTCATTTATTTCTGCTCTGATCATTACTATTTCCTTTCTTCTACTTGTTCTAGGGTTTTCTTTTTGTTTGCTTTCTAGTTCTTTAAGTAGTGAGGTTAGATAGTCTATTAGAATTTTTTTTTTTTTTTGCTTCATGAGGTAGGCCTGTAGTGCTATGAACTTCCCTTTCAGAAATGCTGTCGCTGCATCCCATAGATTTTGTGCTATTGTGTGTTTATTTTCATTGGTTTCTAGGAGGTTTTTAATTTCTCCCTTGATCTCCTTGGTAACCCATTCGTTGTTTAATCTTATGCTATATAGCCTCTATGTTTTCAAATGTCTTTGCATGTTGTTTTTGCAATTGATTTCTAGTTTCATGCCATTGTGATCTGAGAAGATGCTTGATATGATTTCAATCTTCTTGAACCTGTAGAGTCTTAGTTTATGTCCTAACATGTGGTCTATCTTTGAGAAGGTCCCATGTGCACTTGAGAAGAATGTGAATTCTGTAGTTTTGAGGTGTAATTCTCTGTAGATATGTATTAAATCCATTTGGTCTAGTGCTTTGTTTAGAGTCTCTGTTTCCTTGCTAATTTTTTATCTAGAGGATGTATCCAGTGATGTGAGTGGGGTGTTGAAGTCCCCTGCTATGATTGTATTGCTGTCGATTTCTCTTTTGACGTCCTCCAGAAGATTTTTAATGTATTTTGGTGCTCCTATATTGGGTGCATATATGTTTACCAAGGTTATATCATTCTGTTGGATAGATACTTTCAATATTACCTAGTGGGTTTCTTTGTCTTTAGTTATGGTCTTCATTTTGAAATCTACTTTATCAGATATGAGTATTGCTACACTAGTTTTTTTTTGCTTTTTGTTTGCTTGAAAGATTTTGTTTTTCATCCCTTCACTTTCCACCTCTGTGGGTCTTTTGTTGTAAGGTGGGTTTCTTGTAAACAACATATATGAGTCATGCTACTCTTATCCAGTCAACTACTCTGTGTCTTTTTATCGCAGAATTTAAACCATTCACATTTAAGGTGATAATTGATATATACTTATATATTGCCATTTTTGTTTAGTGTGGTTCTACTTTTCTTCCTATTTCTTCTACTAGTTACAGCAGTCCTTTTAGCATATCTTGCAGTGCTGGTTTGGTGTTAATATATTCCCTTAGCCTTTTTTTTTTTTTTGTCTGGGAAGCATTTTATTTGACCTTCTATTTTGAATGATAGCCTTGCAGGATAGAGTAGTCTTGGATTCAGATCCTTCTTTTTCATGACCTTGATTACTTCATGCCACTCTCTTCTGGCCTGTAGTGTTTCTGTTGAGAAGTCAGCTGAGAGCCTTATGTGGTTTCCTTTGTAGGTAACCTGTTGCTTATCTCTTGGTGCCTTTAGGATTCTCTCTTTGTCTTTAATTTTTGGCATTTTAATTACTATGTGTCTTGGTGTGGGTGTGTTTGGGTTCTTCTTAGTTGGGGATCTTCGTATTTCTTGAACTTGAATGCCTTCTTCCTTCACGAAGTTAGGAAAGTTTTCGTTCACTATTTCTTCAAATACATTCTCTAACCCTTGCCCATTTTTTTCCTTTTTGGGGCCTCCTATGATGCAAATGTTATTATGTTTTCAGTTGTCCCACAGTTCTCTTAAGCTATCTTCCTGTTTTTTAATTGTTTCATCCTTTTGGTGTTCTGATTGGTTGATTTTTTTCTACCCTGTCTCTAATTCACTGATCCAGTTCTCAGATTCCTCTACTCTGCTGTGTAGTCCTTCCAATGTGTTCTTTATTTCTGCTATGTCATTCTTCATTTCCTCTTGGTTGATTTTCAATGTTTCTATATCTTTACTCATGGTGCTGATGTCCTTACTCATGCTGTTGAGCTTCCTGAACATAATGGTTCTGAACTCTACCTCTGATAATTTGATTAGCTGCATTTCATTGATCTCATTTTCGATAGAGTTGTATTCTTCTTTTATTTGGGATTTGTTTGTTTGTTTCACCATTTTGGCTATCTTAGTGGGTTTTGGAGCCTGCCATATTTTCCCTGTGGGTGTTGGTGTTCTGCTGTTTGTGGCTCCCTCTGTGTTTGGATGAGCCTGGGTGTGCCCACATTAAACACTACTGTCAAGTCTTACTTTCCTGGGTAGATTTGCCCAGTAAAGGTTCAGTGATCCTCTAGCTTTTTCTTGGTGGCTAGTAGTCTCAGTTACTCAGTGCCTTGGAATGTATCTTTGGTGTTCTGCATAAGAGGATTTCCAGAGGGTGGGATAGATGCTGGTTGTTAATGAGCCTCAATTTGCATTTCTTGCCTCACCTGGGAAAGCCTGACTCTCCAAGGGAGGGGGCGGGGAGCTGCTGCTTTTCTTCACAGCTCAGGGAAGGAACAGACTGGTCACTGTCCTTTGTGGCCCCAACTCAGCAAAAACTCTGAGTTCCCTCTAAATCCTGGTTGTCCCCACAGAGTTTTAACCCAGTCTGCCTTTCCTCTGCCGTAGCCCCCAGGTGAGTGGCCGTGGCTATTTTAGCGTTTTGTCCCCACTCTCTGTGCTGTGGAGCGGGCTTGGTCTTTATTCCCCAAGGGTGCTGCTCACAGCTAAGGCTCCCAGTCTGTGGGCTCCCAGTCGCCACCATCTCATGCCTACGCAGATCCTACCAGTGTCCCTGGTTATATGGTCCTGTCCTGCTGCCTTTCTGTTGCTTTTTTCCGAGGATTTGTCTTTTTTTTAGTTGTAATTGTCATGAGGTTCTGGGACATCGTCTCCATATCTTCTATTCACTATGCCTCCATTTTCATATCCCACACTCATCCACTTTTCTAATTTGATCTTTCTACCTAGATGGCAAACAGGCACCTTTTTTTCCCCCTTTTGCTACAGTTGTTGCTCTTTCAAACCTAAGACTTGATTAGAGACAAAGATGATTTTTAAGCATTTCTGGAGCTTTAACTTTGACTTTATCTAATTGAACTACAGAGAAAATATCAGCTAAAAATGTCACCTGCTCGGCAGTAAATATGCTGCTAGACTATGTCTAAACAATACCATGTGTTTTTAAGAATGTGGAAAAGCAATATAAGGCAGTCAGAGAAAAACAAATATTACATGATCTTAGTTATATGTGGAATCTAACAAACAAAATGAACTGATGAACAAAATATATCCAGAGACATGGAAGCATAGAACAGACTGATGAATCTCAGAGGGAAGGATGGTGCGGGGTGGTGGGGAAAGATTAACCAAAGAACTTACATGGGTATATGCATAGCCTATGGACACAGACAATAGTGCAATGGAGGTCAGGGGAGGAGGGGCAGGAGTGGGTTGGTGTGGGTCAATGGGGGACATCTGTAATACTTTCAACAATAAAGATAAATTAAGAAAAAAAAGACTGTGGGGAAATTGAAATTCTTATACTTTGCTGATGTGAATGTAAAATTGTTCAGCCACATTGGTAAACCATTTGACATTTTCCTCAAAATTAGAAAAATACCTATCATACTATCCATTAATTCCTCTCTCAGATATCTGTCCAAACATATCAACAAAAAGACTATAAGCTAATGTTTGTGGCAGCATTAATTGTAATAGTTAAATGCTGTGAACAATCCAATGTATGTCAACTCGTGAACGGATTAACATTTATATAATGACATACTACCCAGCAAGGAAAAGGAATAGATTATAAATATATTCAACAACATGGATAAAACTCAAAACATATGTTAAATACAATTTATTGTATGATTCCATTTATATGAAATTTCTAGTAAATAAAAACTATAAAAAGAGCATATTCATGGTTTCGTGGAGCTGGACACAGGCCCATGGCTGACCTCAAACCACCATCAGGGGATCTTTTTATGTGATGGAAGTTCTAAAACTTGTTTGGGGTTTCACAGTTGTATGGACTGTGCACACGATTGTATGCAACTGGATAGACTGTGGTATGGTTAGTATGATTTATCAAAATAAACTATAGCAATTAAGAAGAAAAACTTCAGTTTTTATTTTGCAGTATTCATCATGCTAATTTTGAGCTTCTTATTTGTTGTCCAGGTGAAATTATGAAGTAGGAAGTTGATCTAGAAATCAAGGCAGACTTCAGGCTGGAAGATGTACTTTTGGAGGTTATCAGTACCTAGCTGATATTTAAAGAAATAAGATTTAATGATATTACTTAGTGAGAGTGGAATTAGATTAACAAATAGCGCAAAAGACCAAATAACAGACACACTAACAATGATGTCGGAGGAAGAGAAACCATCAGAGGATATTGAGGAGTGAAAATAAAGCAGAAGGGAAAACATGGTGTCACAAAAAGCAAAGAAAAGATGAGGAATGCATGTTCACTGGGTTTATCTATAAGCAGGCCATTGGTGGCATCTGCAAATATAGTTTCAATGGAGTGGGAAAGAACTCTCACTGAAGTTCACCGAGGAGAGAATGGGGAATTAATGGAAACAGGGACTACAGACCACCATCTTAAAAGCTTTACTGTGAACAGAGAAAGAATGAGAATTACTAGAAGTCATGTGGAAACAGAGTGAGTTTCTTTCCCCTCTCCTCCCCTCCCCCTCTCCACCCCTCTTTCTATCTGAGAATTGTTAAGCTTAGGCACTAAAGTGTGTGTGTGTGTGTGTGTGTGTGTGTGTGTGTGTGTGTTTTCCATAAAGCTAGTGAGGCACCATTCATGTAGGACTGAGACCGATTCAGTATTTGGAAGGTTGCCATCACAGGTTTGCATTAGAAAAAACTAGGTCCCCTGAGATTAAGACAAAAAGACCAGTATGCCCAGAAGTCAAAGCCTATCTACCTGTTGGCCCTGGAAAACATCTCCAGGAAGAGTGATGCTCAGGTCTCCAGTGGATCACTCCAGATGGAATTCTGGGCTAGGGTGCTCCTAGTTTTAGATCTCTGGCTGTACTACTGTGGATGTCAGCATCAGAAACAACACTCATCTCCTAGATGAGGCTTTTGGTGAGTTGGGGAACAACCTGAGGCCTAGGTGTGATTTCTCTGAGGATGCTGTCACAGAATGGAGGAGATTATAGTATAGAAAAATCTTTAAAGCTCAGAATTGGGTGGTAAGAGTGAAGGAGGTCATGTCTATTGAGCTCAATGTACTGTTTGGTTTGGAATTTGAATTTGATGGCAGACATTGTCCCTGTAGCTAAAAGTTAATCATCTCCTTTAGGACCAAAAAGAACTTTAAAGCATAATGATTAGAACACCTCGATTTAAATTTTAGTTTTGGGATTTGGGTCAAGTTATTTAACTTATCTGACCCTTGTTTTACTCATGCATACAGTGGCAATAATAAATAGTAATTTTCTCATAATGTTTTCATGATTATTAAATGAGATAGTATATGTAAAAGGTTAAAAATGCAACCAGGAGCACAAATAAATACTAAATAAATATTAGATGTTTTTTTATTTAAAGACTTAAATAATTTATAACGTCTGCTCATTACCCTTTTCATTATCTGTCTATGACATATAAACCTATTGCTTGTGGTTTCTATGTATCTATAAAAAGCCTAGAATTACTTGTCTCAGCAAGAATTATTTTTCCATTTCTTGTTCCTTTTTTCCTAAAACAGAAATATGATATGATATGACTTCTAACTGAAGATGTGAGAATTAAGTGGAGAGTATGTTATTCTAACAAAGGCTAATTAGAAAAAACATGAGCCCTATGAATCATTGCCCTTCCCCGCTAAGCCCCAGCTCAAGGCAAATAGCAAATATATTTCTTCCCCAAATTAGAGACTACTCTATTGCTCCCACAGAAGACAAAAGCAATGGGCAGGAACTATGTGTCAGTCCAAAGCTCAAATACTTTACGAAAATAACATTCTCAGGCCAGTCCTTCAGAGAACAGTCCTTACTGGCTGCCTGGGTGGAATAGAGTATTGAACTGCAGTTCCATAGTGGGTAAAAGGATGATTCTCATTGTCCACTTCTCCTTCACCTCCATCCCCATGTACTCTTTTAAGCCATAGAAGCTCCTTCCTTTTTGTTGTGAGGAAAATTTAGGTTTGTTTTCTCATTGTCTATCCCTAGCGTTAATGGAGGCAGAGTTAGGCTGAGTCTAGCAGAGAACACAAGCGGAACATATTGACCAGCTGTAAGGCATGGCTTTGTTCAACCCCAGGCAGGCATTCCACTCTCATTTCTGATCTTGTTTTTCATGTATACTTTGCTAAGGCTCTTGGAAAGAAGAAAGCTCCTCCTTTTGGTTTTCTGATTATTATGGCATGTCTAGTACTTAGTAGGAATTCAACGTATATTAAGTCATTAATGAATAATTGAATTAAAAATGAACAACTTTCCTTGAGTTCACTGGATCTTAAGGCATCAAGAGCCTTGTTTGCCATTCTCATCTTGAATTCTGGAAGGGCTGTGCTGGTCTCTGGGATTAAGTCCCTCAGGTGGTCAGTGCAGTGTTTCTTTTGTGGTCCTGGTCCCTCAGAATCAAGTTTTCTTACTCTTCCTTTTACTGATTGTTACTACCTACCAGTGCATTATTTTGCATTTCTGATTTATCTAGGACCTGTTTCTAATAAATCATTTATAGTAAGCATTTATGATTAAGTGAGAGCTGCTGAACACAGATCCACAGAATCCACTCTCTCTTTTTTTTAAATCCTTTAAATCCTCACCTGAGGATATTTTTCCATTTATCTTCAGATAGAGTGGGGGAGGGAGGGAGGGAGAGAGAGAGAGAGAGAGAGAGAGAGAAATATTGATGTGAGAGAGACACATTAATTGGTTGCCTCCCGCATGACCCTGACCTGGGCCAGGGACAAAATTGCAACCAAGGCATGTGCCCTTATCTAGAATCAAACCCATGACTCTTTGGTCCATGGGCCTATGCTCTAACTGCTGAGCCAGACTGGCCAGGGCTGAATCCACTCTCTTGAGCACTGCAACAGCCACCATCTGCTAGCCAATTTTAGTGCTAAATTGGCTGAGGAATGGAGATATTTAGATAATATAAAACTGGATAAAAATATATAAATGATGTATGAGTAGGTAGGTAGATACATTTAGTAGCAAATTAATAGATTTCATAGCTTATAAGTACTTTGAGAGATAATTTTCACAGTTACCCAAACATTACGAAGTTTATAGATAATGGATGCATATTTATTATAAGTAAACTTTACTAAGTGTTAATTATTTGCCTGGTGCTTATCTAAATACACTATCAATAATCCGATGAATACACTTAACAATCCCATGGCAAGTACTATTATTTATTTATTTATTTATTTATTTATTTATTTATTTATTATCCTCACTCGAGGACCTTTTTTTCCATTTTTGGTTTAGATAGAGTGGGAGGGACAGAGAGAGAGAGAGAGAGAGAGAGAGAGAGAGAGAGAAACATCGATGTGAAAGGGACACACCGAGTGGTTGCCACCTGCATGACCCAACCAGGGCTGGGGACAAACTGCAACCGAGGTACGTGCCCTTAGCGAGAACTGAACCCAGGTCTCTCTGGACCGCAGGCCAACGCTCTAACCGCTGAGCCAAACCAGCCAGGGCTAGTACTATTATTTTCATTTTCATTTTAAAGAGTTGAAGAGTGAAACACAGAGATTTTATTCAAGGTTGTGGAGCCAGGGTTCAAATCCAGATAGTCTCTCTCCAGAGTCACTAGTGTTAAAGCTATTTTCCTATGAAAATTTCCAAAAGTGTCTTAGGACAGAGAAGCCTAATTGCAATGAAAAATGAATAGCATACTGTAGAAAAAGACAGGGCCTGAGTAAATGAGAGATATAGGTAAAGAGGGATAGAGGTTATACAGTATATAAGTGAAAGACCCTCAAATCCAATTGGATCTAAGATTTTTCAAGGAGTCAGCAAGAATGCTGGCATTCTTTAAAACTGCAGTGTATAGTATCACTTTTATAAATTTCGATAGAACTTTGCAATAATGAAAATGTTCTACATCTGTACTATTCAATATAGTAGCTACTAACCAATGTGGCTATTAAACATTTGAAAACATGATTAGTACAACTAAGCTACTGACATTTTACTTTAATTTAATGTAATTAATTTAAATGTAAATTGGCATGTGCTTAGTGCAACACTAAATTACTAACTCTCAAAAAACTTGGAGTAACGTTTTCTGAGCTCCATTCATTCCCAAATATCCAGAGATCTCTGCTTCTTGTGCCCAATCCTGGATTTTGTCTAGATACTTTGCTCCTTTCTCTGACCCAGTCTCCTATTCCAGTTTCTTTAATCTATGTCCTACGATGAGCTTTAATAATATGCAATTTCACTTAATATTTATGGAGACCTTTGTTTGTATTTGTGTGTGTGTGTGTGTGTGTGTGTGTGTGTGTGTGTGTGTGTAACATTCTTATTTTTAAGATCCTTTAAGGGATTCTCATAAGGGTACAAATACAAACAGAGCTATAGCACTGCTCTTTCTTTCAGTCCTGAACCCTTATCAATTGTATGGCTTAGACTGGCCACCAGAAGAGGGACTAGCTCAGCTATACATTCGGATATATCCTCCTAAAGATAACAGCAAATAACTGAAATAGGAGAGAGCTAATTGTGTGGCACCAAGATTTTAATTTTGATTTTTGTCACTGCAAGTATTTGGTATCAATGTCTATAATGGCCCATAGGTCTATCTAAGCCTTACTCAAAGTTACTGTAGGAAATATACTTGCTGGTAGCTCAAGGTGGAGTTCACTAGAATAGTCATGTAATATTTACATGGAATTCAGAGAATGAGAAGTCTCTATAGAGGAACAGGAAAAAATCAAGTCTAGTTGACTTTCCAATACCAGGGACACTGATTTTACCAATATAAACATTGTTTGGAATGGTCTTTTGGGAGATACTTAATGGATAGATTTCATCTGACTGAACCAGCTGTTAATCATAAAACTCTTTGCAAGTGCTAGAGGGCATTCTGCTCCATAAGGAGTAGCAGAGAAATGGATCTCAGGATTCCTTTCCAGATGTACCTGAGGACAGAGAAGTCTAATTGCAATGAAGGTTTAAGAATATACTATAGAAGCTATTTGTTTTGTACTTCTACCATAACACATCACCACAAAGGTAGTACCTTAAAATAACAGAGGTTTGTTATCCTACATTTCTGTAGGACAGAAGTCCAACATGGTTCTTACTGGGCTAAAATCAAGGTGTCAGCAAGTCTGCATCCCTTTCTGAATACTGTAGGGAAAACCCTATTTCCTTGCCTTTTCCAAATTCTAGAGGTTGCCCAGTCCCCTCCCCTTACTTTCACAACATGTCATGTTGAGTGTACCTCATGCTGCTATGTCTCTGGTTCTTTGAAGCTGGGAAAACATCTTCACTTTTAAAAACTCATATGATTAGAGTTGACCTACTTGGATAATCCAGAATAAATTTTTTGTCTCAAAATCTTGAACTTTAATCACATTTGCAAAGTTTTTTGTGCCAGTGAAAGTTAACATAGTCACACTTCAATGATTAGGATGTAAACATCCTTAGAGACCATTATTCTTCTTACCACTGTGTGATCTTCAGAAGTTCTTTGGGAACCCAAGTAACTTCTCCCTCTACCACCTGCTCTATACTCAGGTCTTTTTATTACCCATACACTCCTAGGAATGCAGAAGGTCAAAGTTTTAAAGTTCTTCAAGAGTATTCTTCTCCCCTGTTCTATATTACGCAGGAGGAAAAATTGAGTCCCAAAGAGAATCATGTCTAAATTCCAATTTAAAATCACAATTAAGACACACACATATGTACACACATGCATATATGTGTTTATGAGCAGGCATGTCATGTTTGTGCTTGTTAATATTTCCTATATGGTTATTGTCATCAGTGTTCATTATCCACATAAATGTAGAATGTCAAATTCTTAACAAAGAAGCAAGACAGCTAAATTCTTGATGTTTCCAGATGAATTGTATCTGTATTGGGTGAGGTATTGATTGAAGGTTTTTTTCTCTTTATCCTAGGTATTTTAATATATGATATTCAGTAATAAAATTATTGCTTCGTGGGCAGAGCCATGTTTCCTTATCAGACTGTGGAGATGAGTGTGTTGAAATAATATTTAAGTCACTGTCTCTTATGACTACCATCACAATACTACTGCCACTGATTCTAACTGAAGACTGGTTGACTTAAGCTTTCTCCTTTTGCCTACTCAGATTTCCATTCCACTGTCACCATTCAACCAAACTACTGATAACCACCAGACCTTCACCTTGACTGGGATTCCAGGAATGCCAGAGAAGGACTTCTGGATGGCCTTGCCCCTCTGTCTTCTTTATAGTATCACAGTCCTGGGTAATGTTATTATTCTTTTTGTCATCAAAACTGAACAAAGTCTTCATGAGCCCATGTATTATTTTCTGGCTATGCTAGCTGCCACAGACCTCAGCCTTTCACTATGTACCATGCCCACCATGATAAGCGTTTACTGGTTCAATTGGCACTTAATAACTCTTGATGCCTGCATCACTCAAATGTTCTTTATCCATGCCTTTGGGGGAGTAGAGTCAGGTGTTCTGGTGGCTATGGCCTTTGATCGCTTTGTGGCTATTCGCTTCCCTTTGCACTATACTACCATTCTCACTCACAGAGTCATCGGCAACACTGGGGCAGCAGTCCTGCTGCGGAGTGTGGTGGTTGTTCTCCCTGTGCCTTTCCTCATCAAAAGATTACCTTTCTGCCACTCCAATGTCCTATCCCATGCATACTGCCTCCATCAGGACGCCATGAGGCTTGCCTGTGCTGACACAAGTGTCAACAGCATCTATGGTCTAGTGACTGTGATCATCTTCATTGTACTAGATGTCTTGATCCTTTTGGTCTCTTATGTTCTCATCCTCCAGGCAGTATTGAACATTGCTTCCAAGGAAGAGAGATTCAAAGTTCTCAAAACCTGCCTCTCTCATATCAGTGCAGTGCTGCTGTTCTATGTGCCTCTCATTGGCATGACTCTGATTCACCGATTTGGGAAGCATTTGTCACCATTTGTACACATACTCATGGCCAATATCTACCTGTTGCTTCCTCCTGTGCTCAATCCTGTCGTGTACAGTGTTAGAACCAAACAGATTAGGCAGCGGATTATCCGAATGTTCTGTGGGGGCAAGAATGGCCCTTAATAGCATCTACTACATCTGTGCAAATGCACAAAAGTCAGAGAGGAGCATTAAATGCAGCACTGTCCAATAGAAATTCCTACAGTGGTGGAAATGGTCTAAGTCTTTATTGTTGAATACAGTAACCACTAGTCATGTGTCATTTTGAAGCACTTGAAACTTTGCTAGTTTAACTGAGGACCTGAATTTTGAAATTTTAATTAATTGAAATGTAAATTTAAATAGTCACATGTAACTCTATTAAACAGTACAAATCAAATGGGTTATGACATGTCATTGCATAATGGTTTTGCTGAAATCAAGAATTTATATCAAATAGCTTGATAAAAATATAAACTTTCTTTTCTCAAAATGGTGTATAAAAACTTTCCAACACTTATAAACAACAAAATTTACTCTTTTTGGTATATAGTTCTATAAGCCTTGACAGACACATAGAGTCATGAAGCCACCACTGATGCCAAGATACCAAAAAATTATATTACTTCCCCCAATTTTTTTATGTTGCCCCTTTGTAGTCAACTCCTCTATCCATACCCAATCCCTAACAAACAGTGATTTGTTCTTCATGCCTATAATTCTTCTTTGTCCAGGGTGTCATGGAACACTGAAATATGTAGTCTGACTTCTTAGTATAATGCACTTGAGATTCACCTATGTTGTTGTGTGTATTGGTAATTAATTTCTTTGTATTGTTGAGAAATATTCCACTGTATATGCTATGCTATTGTTTAAAAACTTGGCTGGGGAGGGGGGTGGGCTGGGTGGAGGTGGGCAAAGTGGGGGAAAATAGGGGACATCTGTAATAGAGTCAACAATAAAAAAAGAAAAGAAAAAATTCCCAGATTGTTTTGCTTTATTTTAATCACTCTGGTATTCAATGCTGAACATAGCATATTTATTTACTTTTGTCTTTTGTGTTTATTTACATGTTCTTTGAATATTTTTTTTAAATAAAAATAAGGTGTGTATGTGTAAAGGGTTGGAAGCAGAGAGAAAAGTATTTTAAAAAAATAACTTGTGAAGAGTGTGAGAGCATGGTGCACTCAGTGAGCTAGAAGACTAAGAACCTTTCTAAACACTTTAGATAATCACTTTAAACCTCACTTTAGTCCAAAAGGCTTTCTGACATGCCCTTTGTTATGTTAGACTCTAACAGTTAGAGTTTCTCACACTGTACTATAGTTGCCAGCCAACATATCTTCACTGCTATTATATATACTTTATAAGAACAGGGACCTTTTTCATTTAGCTTCAGTCTATCCCAAGTTCTCAATGTAGTTCAGAACATGTGAAAGACACTCAATATGTATTTTTTGAATTAAAGAATACATGATAACTGTACTTTATCAAGATTAATCTCATGCTTTCTAACCCCTTTGTCTCATTTAATACTAGTGAGTCTTATTCAAAATTTCCTGAGACAATCACATTTTCTGATAAGAACCAATGAAAAGTGGTGGTATTTATTTATTTATTTGACTTTATTGATTTTAGAGAGGGGGAGAGAGAGAGAGAGAGAGAGAGAGAGAGAGAGAGAGAGAGAGAAACATTGATTAAAGAGAACATTAATTAGCCACCTCCTGCACACCCCCCACTGGGGATTTGGCCCACAACCTGGACATATGCCCTGACCGGGAATCGAACCCGTGACCTCTTGGTGCATTGGTTGATACTTAACCACTGAGCCACACCAACTAGGCAAGTGGTCGTATATATACAGGGTGTAGCAATAGTAGGTTTATAGTTGTTTATATAGAAAATAATACAACAATTAATAAATAATAATAGAAGAATAAACTGTATTTCATATACTCAGAGCTATAAACCTACGTTTGTCATATCCTACATATGAATCTAAGCATTACTTATTATGTAACTTTATAAAGTTTCCTAATCTGTCTAGATACTCATTGGGATAGGCAGCTTTGTTCAGTGTCCTTGATAAAAATATAGTGAGAATATGAATGGAAAAATACTTTAAGGAGGATAAAAGTCAGTGATTATTAGATATAGTCAGGATTATTTATTCAGTGCCTACTAGGGAAAGGTAAATTTTGGTTAAATGAGGCTTAAACCAGATGGGAGCATGCAATTTGGAATCAAGCAATCCATAGAATGGATAGGTTGAGGACTATGTATTGCAACCATATCTCTTCAATATATGAGCAGAAGCAGTTGACCACAGAAGGTAGTACAGCAATATTGGTTAAGATGAAGAAAGAACTTTGGAGTAAGGTTGACATAGGCTTAAATATCAGCTCTGTAACTTAGTAACTTTTAAGTAAGTAAAGTTATTTAAAACCTCTGAGTTTCAATTTTCTCAACTACAAAATTTTGGAGAATAATGTTTAACACATAAGCTTGATAATGAATAAATACAACAATCTGTTTACAGGATAGCATAAAATTTTTGGTATCTATTATGAGTTTATCAAATACTAATTTATTTTATTTTTTCTTGAATTTATTGGGGTGACATTGGTTAACAAAACCATACAGATTCCAAGCATGCAACACAACAAAACGTCATCTGCATACTGCATCGTGTGCCCATTGCCCAAATAAAGTCTCTATCCCCATTTATCCTCTTTTTGCCCTCTTGCACCTCCCCACCACCCTTTCCCTCTAGCTATCACCATACTGTTGTCTGTGTTTTATAATAATAACAATTATATATATATAGCTTAATCCCTTCACTTTTTTTTCCCACCTAGAACCGCAATGCCTCCCCCCTCTGTCACTGTGTTCTATGTATCTCTGCTTCCATTTCTATTTTGTTTGTTAAATTATTTTGTTTATTAGATTCCACATATAAATGAGCTCATATGGTATTTGTTTTTATCTGACTGGCTTATTTCATTTAGCACAATACTCTCCAGGCCCTTCCATGCTGTTGTAAAAGGTAAGAGTTCCTTTTTTTTTTTTTTTATGGTAGAGTAGTAATTCATTATGTAAATGTACCAAATCTTTTTTCTCCACTCATCTACTGATGGGTACTTAAGCTGCTTTCAGATCTTGGCTATTGTAAATAATTCTGCAATGAAAATAGGGATGCATATATTCTTTTGAATTAGTGTTTTGGATTTCTTTAGATATATTCCCAGAAGTGGAATTTCTGGGTCAAAAGGCAGTTATATTTTTAATTTTTTGAAGATATTCCATACTGTTTCCCACAGTGCTTACCTGAAGAAGCAAGAACAATCTTAAATAGACTATTTAATCCTACACCTAGAAGGACTAGGAAAAGAACAACAAACACAACCCAGAATAAGTAGAAAGAAGGAAATAATAAAGATTAGAGTGGAAATAAATAACATGGAGGCTAAAAAGCAATACAAAAGATCAATGAAAGCAAGACCTGGTTCTTTGAAAAGAAAAACAAGATCTTTTTTTCTTTATTTATTTTTAGAGAGAGAAGAAGGGAGAGGGAGAGAGAGATAGAAACGTCAATGAGAAAGAACATCGATTGGCTGCGTCCTACATGGCCCACAACCTGGGTATGTGCCCTGACTAGGAATCAAACTGGCAACCTCTTGGTGCATGGGTCGATGTTCAACTACTGAGCCACATCAGTTGGCAGAAAAACAAGATATTTAACCAGACTCATAATAAAAAAAAAAAGAGAGAAGACTCAAGTAAAATCAGAAATGAAAGAAGTAACAATCGACACTACAGAAATAAAGGATTGTAAGAAAATATTATGAATAACTACATGTCGAAAAATTGGACAACCTGGATGAAATGATAAGTTTCTAGAAACATACAATCTTTCAAAACTATCAAACATTAGTTTAATTATGCTTATAAGGGAAGGTGGGCTGCAGATGTGACTTAGTTAGTAGGATGGCTTTTTAGGAGAGGTACCTGGACAAGAGGAGGCAACGGGCCAGGGGAACAATGAGACCTATTAGAAAGAGTACATATTGGAGCAAAACAATTGAGAGATGGCTCTTTTTGCATTCTCCTGATCCCTCTCTGATATTCAGGGAGCCTCTTTGGCTGAGAATCTGTAGCCTAAGGCAGTGTGAAGACAAATGGTTATAGTTATCTGATTCAGGCAGGCAGTTTTTGAAGGTACCCATTACTGTCAGCCTCCAGGGCCAGGACTCTGATGTATGAGGTTTGCTTGGGGCCCCAAGCATGGTTTGAACCTGTGTCAAGGAGACATGTCTGAGATGTTGTAGAGGAATATATTCATATGGGTTCCATAACTCTTGCTCCAACCAGTACACTCACTCATGAATAAAAATAGCTCTCTGTTGCCTGGTGACTCTACTAAGCTGCGTATAAAGCTCGTACCCTTGGAAGCTGGTTTAGTTCCTGTTCTGTGATGGGAATGAAGAAAAGTTGGTGATTTTTTCCACTGATGTGAGCAGGTAAGAAGAGTGCATTAATGAAAAGGGATAGGAGGAGAGGGATTAAAGAGTGAGCAATGCTAGAAAAAGGAGGGAAGGGTAATAAGTGATTAAATGGTGGAAGCTACAAATAAGGTGGGATGAAGAAATGAAGGGGTGTGACGGAGCCCGGAAGAAACTGAGACAGGGTTATAAGAGACATAAGGGAAAGAAAAGAAGAAAAAGGAATAGGATCCAGAATCTCTGTCTATGGCCAAGATTATTCAGCAACCAGTCAACATTATTAATTAAAGCTCTCTATTATTCCATACCCTACTTTGGTAACTCTCATTGAGAGAAAAAAGATAGGCATGCCCAAACTTTTAAGGGACTCATACTTCAGGCAGAGGAAGGAGATGGCACTTGAATATAAAAATTACCAATATCAGCCATGCCTCATTATTAAGAGTCAAATGAAAGATACAAACCTAAAATGGTGCAGAGATTTATTTATTTAATTAGTTAATTTAAAAATATTTTTATTGATTTTTAGAGAGAGAGGAGGGAGAAGGAGAGATAGAAACATCGATGAGAGAGAACATCAATCGGCTGCCTCTTACACACTCCCTACTGGGGATTGAGCCCACAACCTGGGCATGTGCCCTG